TAATTGTTGGTCGTCGATTTAAAAAAAAGTAACGGAAAAGTAACGAAAAGTTACTTTCTCAAGTAACGGTAACTGTAACGAGTTACTTTTAAAAATCGGTAACTAGTAACGGTAACTTGTTACTTTTCCTACTCGGTAACGAGTAACTGTAACTTGTTACTTTTAAAAAGTAACTTTCCATTCCCTGCATATATATATATATATATATATATATATTCTAGGAAATAAAAAATGACAATAATTGCGAGAAACGCTTCAATTTATAGTTAAAATTTCTGCATTTATATACCTCTTATGCATTCTATGTAGGCGTTCCCGGTAAAGTACTGAGAACAGAAACAGATACCCGTGTGAGACGTGGATTTACATTGCGCGTTAAAACCGCACTGAGTTGTCAAACAGGCATCGACGCATTTTCCATCCAGACACGTCTCGTAATTGGCGCAATCTTGATCTAAATGACATTGTACGTCGCCCAACACTGCAATGCATTCATAGACGATTAAATAAGTTATTGAATAATAATACAAAATATTATACATTTCGTATAAAATTAACATGTACCAATCTGCTTGCACTGGCCATTAACATCAGTGATTGTATTCGGTGGACACAAACAGATCATCGTACGAAGTGGTTCCGTGTTCAGGACTTTGCACTCCTGTTCACTGGTGCACATACCAGCGGATATACATGGATCTTGACATTTGGTATTAATACAAGCGAGATTCAATGCGCATTCATTATCCTGTGTGCATTCTGGCTCAATAGAAGATTCACCTAGGAATCACACAAATATATCAGATAGAACTAAACCTCTTAAAACTATCTTTGTTATAGACTAATTTTAAATAAATTTTTTTTCAATAAAGTTAACAACAAAATAACAATAAAGTTTTAAAACTCAACATACCAATGCATGTTACATAGGGATTTCCGGTGGTACCCGGAGGACATGTGCACTTCGGCTGATGATCGCGCGCGACACAAATTGCGATTTCGCCACACGCATCATCATCGCAAACTGGTCTGCAAACTCTATTCAGTCTGTCACAGGCTTCGTGATCAGCGCAATCTTCATTGTAATGGCAGATGGCAGAAATACATGCCACACGTGGGTCGCCTTGAGTACCTTGCGGACAGATACATTGGGCTCTATGAGATACCGCTCTGCATTCTGCACTCCGACCACACACAACATCACCGATGAGACATGGAGAGACGCAATTATCGTTGCGGCAGGTTTTATCATAAGGACAGTCATTGTCTGTCTTACATTCCGCTGAAAGAAAAGAGACAAATATGTGTAATAGAGACGAATAAGTGCTACGTATAAAAATTTTTTAGATTAATTTTCAACATGTTTGAGATTTTTTGTCATTAAGATGCACTAGACTTATCGTTGTTCTTTTAAAAAAATCAAAGAAAATGATTATATATATGTATATATTTCAATTAATTTAAAGTTTATAAATAAATTTTTTATGGCAATATGACAATTTTAAACTTACGTCTGAAGCATTGAGCTTGTGGATCACCGGCTAAACCGTGTTGGCAATGACAAGAAGGATGATGATTAATCGTGATGCATTCCGCATTTAGACCACAACGATTGCTGGAGCACGGATCTTGGCACAATTGATTTATGCACGCTTTGTCGGATGGACACTCGGTATTTGTTCTGCATTCCGCAAGAACTATATTTTCTGTAAATGCAAAAGGCAAAGATATAAAAAAACGTACGACCGCTTACATTGAAGAATGAAAAAAAGTATACAGTACCTTCATAGCAATTTATGAATGGATCACCGACGTATCCGTGGGGACACTGGCACGTACGGCGATGATTTTCGATATGACATTCTGCATTTGGTGAACATGGATTAACGGTGCATGGATTAATGCATTGACGGTTTAGACAGGCCATGTCCGGTGTACATTGTGAATCACTCTCACATACCGCAGCAATTTGTTTGTCCACTGCAAATACACAAAATATTCGTAATTTAGTTATCAGTGTTTTACCGTATACAATTAATTGAATTAATTTTATATGAAAATTTTGATTATTTAAAAAAAAATAATTTATTTTATTTTATTTAGATAAGTTTTTCTATATTAATGAATATGTATATATTTGTTTGGATAAAAGTCTACCTGGCACGCAAGCAACGGTGGCATCGCCAGCAAAATTTGGCAGACATTCGCAAATCATTGTTCTCATCGGTAAAGTATCTACAACGCTACATTTAGCACTAACGATGCATGGTTTCGTTTCTGTACATGGATCTTTACAAATACCATTGAAACATGCCAATTTGCTAGGACAGTCGGCATCAACTTGACATTCGGTCTCTGGTTCTAACAGATCTAAAATAACAATAGATATTGTATAAGCATATTATCAAATCATAACTAATTGTTACTTTGTAAATTTTTTACAGCATCTAATCTAAATTATCACTTGTTAAATGTACCTTCTCAACTTTGCTAGCAATAATTTAATGATATAAGGGTCTATATATAATCATATTTCTCATTATATTGAATACATAATAGCATATATGTAGTAGCGATTATCTTTACTTAATTTAATACACTTTTAATGTACTTTACAAATATAAACCTAATATTAAAATGGATTCTTACCCATGAGACACGAAGTGTAAGGATTACCCACATAACCAGGTGGACATTTACATACTGGCCGATGATTGACAACATTGCACAATGCTGGTGGTGGACAGTTGCAAGGATTGACGCATCTTAAGTTGCGGCAGGCCAAAGATGGAGCGCAATCATTGTCGCTAGTGCACTCAGGTCTTTCGCATATTTCGTAAGGATTACCCGTATATCCATCAGGACAATAGCATCGAGTTTTATGATACCCATCAGTGGTACACATTGCATTAATACCGCACTGTGTAACCAGGCAGGTATCAATACATTCGTTGTTAATGCAAGATTGAATTAATGGGCATTCGCTATCGCTACGACAACCGACTGTAAAAAAAATATTAATAAAGTTGATGTGTGTTATATAACTAAAAGATATATCAGTTAAATACGTGTATATTTGTTTAACGCACGTTGATGACAATATTGCTGAGGATATCCAGTGTAACCATCATTGCAGATACATATAGCTCTGTGCATTTGCACATGGCAGCGACTATTAAGACCACAAGAATCAAGAGTACACGGATCAACGCACTTTTGATTGAAGCAGGTCTTGTCATTTGAGCACTCGGAATTTTGTGTGCATTCTGGAATTGGTTCTGCAAAAATATAATTAAAATTTAAATTTTGTCATCATGTACACAACAATAAAAAACGCATTTCTTCATAAATTTAACTCTAAAATTAATTATTTTCGATATACATATTAATGCTTTTTATCAGAATAATTTTTTTTATATATTAATATCAGTATTTCTTTCTCTCTCTCTCTCTCTCTCTCTCTCTCTCTCTCTCTCTCTCTCGTTATATTATTATCTATACATAATTTGAATATTTACTGAATAATGTAATATATGCATATTTAAGAAAATAGAATTAATTTTTTTAACTATAATAATAATTTAACAATCTATTTTCAAAAATATATCTAACATTGTATTGATATATTCTTCAGATGTAAATATTAATTACCTTCAAGGGCTGGAATTGTGCACTGCACTCGCGCATTACCCATGAATCCAATTGGACAGGAACAGATTGGCTTGTGATTAACGGTTTGACAGATAGAATTGATGCCGCACGCGCCAATGCAGGGATCTTTGCATTTCTGCGAAAAGCAGGCTTTATCACGCGGACAGTCTGAATTGATAACGCATTCAGGATAAATGCAAACAGCGACACCATTTCTCACTCTGCACTCGCCGTTGTAATTACAAGGCGATGGACTGCAAGGATTGGTTTCTAAAACAAAAATGCGTATTTTATAATAACAACGAAACAATCTGAGAATAATATATTTTATACAAAATTCAAAATTTTTCAATATTTACCGATCTTTGTATAACATTCCTCAAAAGGATTGCCGATCAACGGAGATGGACAACTGCAAAGTGGGCTATGATTGATCGTCTTACACACTGCCTTGCTACCGCACACATTCTGAGAACAGGGATCTTTACATTTACTCTGTATGCAAGCTTTATCACCCGGACAATCCGAGCTGAGGACGCACTCCGGATGACAACCAGTTATACTCGTTGGAACGCCTTGCAACCCAGGCAAACATTTGCAAATTGCCGTATTACCAATTTTCTCGCACACGGTATTCGGACCGCACGGTGATGGATAACACGGATCCGTTTCCTTATCTAAACACAAGAATAATAATAGGAATTAATAATGTCCATCATAAAAAAAAGAAAGGAAGCTTAAAAGATACAGCGTTTTAATCTTTTATGTTTAAGAGCTCTTTATTCAATTAGAAAGATAAATGATTAAATTATACATAACACTGTTCGACAAAATTTGATCTCTTTTTTTGCAACACACGTATGAATATATAGTCATTTCTGATGTATTTTTGTTTGCAGAATACGAATCTGTTAACCAAATTTGACTATCATGCCACAATTTTGAGAAAAAGGATGTTAAAGAGACTAAAAATGATATTATTTTAAAGATTTTTATAACATAGCAGTAGCAGCGAATTTTTTTCTAAATTTCATTAACCACGCGAAAATATCAACGTTAAACTTTAAAATGCATTTTATTTTGTTTCATTATGATTTGATGAGTGCAACATCATCAAAATTTTTTAAATCATTGGCTGCGTTCAGCAAAGAAAGCAGCTTTGTAACTGTTGTAAAATTCTTCAATATGATTGGTCTTGCCTTTAGTTCCTCATTGGATCTAAATATATAAACCAATCATATTCAAGAATTTTACAACAGTTGCAAAGCTGCTTTTTCTGCTGAACGCAGCCATTGTTGTTTTACCTCTTTCATGTCGTTTTTCTCAAAATTGTGATGTGATAACCAAATTTGACTAACGGATTCAATAGGCAAAGGTACATCGGAAATAATTATTCACACTCGTATTGAAAAATGATGTTGGACAGTGTAATTAGAAAGAGAGAAGATATAAGTAGCAAACTCTTACCTTCCATAGGGACTTGACAGAGTGTGAAAGCGTCTCCGATCGTTGGCAATGGGCAAGAACAAATAGGGACGTGATTGGATACGGTACAGGTTGCACCAACGCCGCAAGTACCAGGACAAGGATCTTGACATTTCGTCTTTATACATGCTTGCGATTTTGGACAGTCGGTATTCACGAGGCACTCGGGTTGACAGCCTTGATACGGATTTCCTCTATAGTTTGGTACGCACTCGCAAATGGCTGTGTCAAATCTCTCGTGGCAGTACGCATTTATTCCACACGGTGATGGGCTGCACGGTCTAGATGGTACCGACGGTGTTGGAATTGCTAAAATAACAGAAAACACATAATTAATTTCATAGTCATAGTTTATACGGTTTAAAGATTATACATGCAGTATATATTATGTGTAAATTAATGTTTTTAAAAAATAGTATTATTTGCATATACGAACAAAAGTAAATAAATATATGTCTGTTGCATGCAATGTATATGTTTTTATACATGTAAAAGTGTAACATATATATAATACATATATTTAAAGATATTTTGTCACGTATCGGTATGATAGTCGAGTATAGTGTTTAAAAAATGATGCAAGATCAATATGTGACAAAAAAATTGACATGTGCAATTCTTTTAAATACATCAATTATATACACTAAGGATATTTACAAGATCTAGAGTTCAAGAAATCAAGTTTTAGAGATTAAAATGTTGATTGACAAGATGCCGAAGTAATATGTCCATCAGGTCAGTTATTACGGGTAAAGGTAGCGGGGATTTTCTTACATATTATCTCAGAGCAAACTGTGAATGGGTCTCCAGTGTATGATTCGGGACAAGTGCATCGGGCTTGGTGCAAAGTGACTTGGCACAGTGCATTGAATCCGCATAATCCAACACACGGATCGGTACACTTCTGCTTAATGCATGCTTGATTGGTGGGACATTCGCTGTTTACATGGCATTCGGGTCTACAATTGGGTGGAGATCCTATAAAGGTGGGCGAACAGGAGCAGGAGGGTATGTTATCGGCGGATATTGCGCACTGCGAGTTCAATCCACATGGTGAAGGGTAACACGGGTCCCTGGTGGGTTCTACGTCCGGTGTTGCTGGCGATAAAAAAAGAAATTCATTATTTGTTTCAAAGTTAAAGAAAAGACATCTCAAATACAACAATACAAACACAATCGAAGAGTCATCAAGAAGACATCCAAAAGACACATTCATCCTTCTAAAATTTTAGACGCCTATACAATGTCTCTTAGATGTTTGCATTATTTGCAGCATCCTGGGTAGTTACTTACTTATGGGGAAACAGTTGATAAACGGGTCACCGGAATGCTGAACGGGGCATCTGCAAATTGGATTATGATTTCGCACAACACATAGCGCGTTCTGGCCACAAGCGTTTTCACAAGGGTTGCGACATCTCATGTTCACACAAGCCTTGCTCTGCTCGCAATCGGTGCTAACGAGACATTCGGGTCTACAGCTTGGCGGGATACCGAAGTAACCAGGTAGGCAAGAACATGAGGCTTGATCTCCAAATTCACGGCAAACGCTGTTAGGTCCGCAAGGGGAGGGCTCGCAGGGTTTGACGCGTGCTATCGAGATGTAAGGTGGTAAAATTAATTGGCTTTTTTCAATGACAGAACTCCTCAGAGAATAAACAAAAATAGGGAGACTCACATTGTACACGTTTACAGAGAGTGAATGGATCGCCTTCATAATCCTTGACACAGCTACAAGTGGATACATGATTGATAACCGCGCATTCCGCATTCTGGCCACAGATTCCGACGCAGGGATCCACGCACTTATTATTCGCGCAAGCTTTATTGAATGGACAATCAGAATTCTGCACGCATTCCGGCCGACATTCCCGATATGGGTCACCACGATATTCAGGTATACAATTACAAATTCCATTACGGCAATCGGCATTCAGTCCGCATGGCGACGGATTACATGGGTCTGATGTTACTGTAGGAATTTCTGCCGGAATCGAAAGACGCAAGTGTGAAGAATGATTGTTTTATATTAGTTTATATTAAAAAAAAATGTATAAGTGAGCAACAAAAGCTCTTACGCATGGGTGCCAGGTAGCAGTTGCTGAAGGGGTCGCCTGTGTATCCATCGAGACATGTGCAAGTCGGGGTATGCTTGATTACAATGCACAAGGCATTAAAACCACAGGATCCAGGACAGGGATCTCTGCATTTTTCTCTAATGCAAGCTTTATTACTGGTGCAATCAGAATTAATTGAACATTCGGTACGGCAGTAAGGTGGTGATCCAATGTAATTAGGCATACACGTGCAAAAGGGATAGCCTCCCCTGTCTTGACACGTGGAGAATGGCCCACAAGGCGATGGGACGCAAGGGTTTACTTGTAGTGTTGGTACAGGCATCACTGAAATAAAATTTTATATAACAATTTCTGCGCGTATATATGAAGGACTATCTTTCAGTGACGCGATGTTCTCACAGTAAACTTTTAAACCGGAACTTACAGGGCATGTCGAAACACTTGACGAAGGGATCTCCAATCTGACTGGGTCCGCAGCTGCAGAATGGACTGTGGGACAGGGCATCACACTTAGCGTTAATACCACATACACCTGGGCATGGATCGACGCATTTCTGATTGACACACGCGCGATTTATAGGACATTCTGTGCTAACGATACATTCAGGTCTGCAGTCAGGGGGAATTCCTTGATAAGTGGGCAGGCACGAACAACTGGCTTTTCCATTTACATTGAGGCATCGACTATTCGGACCGCATGGTGACAATTGACAAGGGTCGCCTATAGGCACCGGAGCTATGCAAGATCGATCAAAAAAATGAAATAACGTGTTTCTGTAAATGACTGATAACAACGGACATGTTTGAATTCACTTACGAGTTTCCTGCATGGGTTCGCAGTATTTGAATGGGTCTCCGGTATATCTCGATTGGCAGCTGCACGCCGGTATGTGGTTGATAACTTCGCAAATTGCATTGACACCGCATGTTCCTGGGCAAGGGTCCTGACACCTGTTTCTTATACAAGCTCGATTGGATGTACAGTCAGAGTTTATTACACACTCGGGTCTACAACCTTCGTACGGATTTCCGTAGAAATCGGGCAAACAAGTACAGGAAGCTGAGCCAGAAATTTCACGGCACATAGCATTTGCACCACATGGTGACGGCTGGCACGGATTTAATGGAACTAGCGGTGTGTCGACTAAAATAGAGGGCCATAAATTGTTTAACAATTATCAAAATAATATGTCAAATGTAATTTATAATAAAAATCATGTAACGCGTATTTTCTGCGATAGTTGCTTTTCTTCAAAACTTACTTGGTCGGGGATTGCACTGGATAAATGGATCACCGGTAAAGTCACTGGCGCAAATACACATCGGGGTGTGACTTACAGTTCTACATTCAGCATTTCTACCACACGATCCCGGACAAGGATCACGGCATTTTTGGTTAATGCAAGCTTGTTGACTAGGGCATTCACTGTTACTAACACACTCCGGTCTACATCTAGGCGGAGTGCCGATAAATTGGGGTAAGCAAGAGCACGATGGGGCGCCATTGAGGACTCGACATATCGCATTCGGACCGCAAGGTGAAGGTTGACAGGGGTCTACGGGTGGTTGTGGTTCTTCCGCTGCAATGTTTAAAGTGTTACAAATGTCTTGACATAATATAAATTATATATAATAATATAAGTCTCTAGTTTCATGAAATTCTTACGTTGACGAATACATTGAACAAATGGATCTCCCGTGTACAAAGGCGAGCAACTGCATATAGGATTGTGATTCACGACGGTACATTGTGCGGTTAATCCACATGCACCGAGGCATGGATCAATGCATTTTTGATTGCTGCAGGCTCTGTTGCGGGCACAGTCGGCGCTTATAAGACATTCTGGTCTACAGGACGGTGGAGCGCCTCTAAAGCCGGCGATGCACGCGCAAATGGCTTGATTATTTGACACACGACAATGGCTATTTGGACCACATGGGGACGGATTGCACGGTTGTTCCACGATGATTGAATCTATTTAATAATAATTATTTCACTCTTACACCAGGAAATATTCTCGAAACAAATACTTTCATCGCGCTTAAGAGTTGTACAAACCTTGAAGAGGTGTACAGGATACAAATGCGCTACCAGTCATATTTCTTGGGCAACTGCACATGGGCAAATGATTAACAACAATGCATTCCGCGTTAACGCCGCATGTCCCAATGCACGGATCGCGACATTTGTGGAGCATGCATGCTTTATCGCGAGGACAATCGGTGTTAATCACACATTCTGGTCGGCAGCCGACATAAGGATCTCCTAAGTATTCGGGTATGCATGTGCAAACTCCGTTATTACACCGTGCGTTCTGACCGCACGGTGATGGATTGCATCGGTCTGGGGGAAGTACTGAAATGTGCACAGATCAAATTGCAGTGATTTAGAGTAGTAAGTAATATGCTTGCTAGGATAATAACATGACGAAAATTCAAGTTCTTACGAGGTATCTGAGGTAGAACGTTGCAACTGATGAAGGGGTCACCAGTATAGCCTTCAGGACATATGCATGATGGTGTATGATTAATAACAGAACAACGCGCTAAGAGACCACATGATCCTGGACAAGGATCTCTACATTTTTCTCTGATACAAGCTCTATTAGCGGGACAATCCGAATTTATTGAACACTCGGGTCGGCAATTAGGTGGAACACCCATGTAATTTTGCATGCAACTGCACGCTGGTGCATCACCAATGGCTCTGCATAAGGCATTGGGGCCGCAAGGTGAGGGCAAGCATGGGTCCTTTAGATATTGGTCTTCCGGTTTCGAAACTACGGAAAAGTATAAGTAATATTAACATTCTTAGTGCATATAAAAATAGGTAGCATTAATCAAAAGTTAATAAGGTCAACTTGATTTTAATAAATTTTAAAATTTTATAAAAAAGCTATAGTATCCTACAGAACATACTTGCCACCGCGAAGCAATAGATGAAAGGATCGCCTGTATAGCCATTTGCACAGACACAAATAGGACTGTGATGTACGACTTTGCATTGAGCATCGCGACCACAAGTGCCGATGCATGGATCTACACATTTTTGATTAACACATGCTCGGTTCGAACCACATTCTGTATTTACTAAACATTCTGGTCTACAATTTGGCGGAGTTCCAATAAACTGAGGCAAGCAGGAACAGACAGCTTGACCATTATTGTTGGTACATTGACTGTTGGGGCCACAAGGAGAAGGCTTGCATGGTTCACGCTTTTCATCGGGAACTATAATAATATAATATTTACAGTATCACTTTTATATATCGCTTTCTTATATATATATATATATATATATA